GTAGCTCCGTTGGTAGACTGTTTGTCCATTGGCCCACAGGTTGGCAGTGTGATTTCATTCCCCACAGATGAATGCTGTTGTTGTGTGCTTAGGCAAGACACTTAACCACCCCCTCGCCCCCTAGTGTCTGCGTACGCCGGTGTGTGAATGGGAGAGTGGTTCCTTGATGTAAAAGAGCTTTGAGAGTCTTGAAGGTGGAAAACTGATATAGAAAAATGTGAAGGGGTCTGTTGTCTTAAAGGTTGTATAGAGGATTTTCCAAGGAACGAGAAATCCAGCGACTGTTTGTCCTTTTTCAAATGTTGCGCATGCGTGAAACCACCCCCCTCCCCTACAGCTCCTACGTAGAAACGCCTCCTCCCGCCTCCTCCTTACGCCAGAAACAGGTTTGTTTACAGCCGGTGCTGCACATGACTTGTAAACAACTAACTACAGTGTTGGTTAGGCAAGACGGAGAAGTGAGGAGCAGGGGGAAGAGCGGATCGGGCAGCGGGGACAGGAGCAGGAAAGGGGTGCAGAGAAGGTTGCGCGGAGATTCAGTGCGAATGAACTAGCTACAACACGCAGCAGCAAGCGGACTCTTTCTTTGCATTGAAAATTAACGTTTTCAGACATAGGATATCGCTTTCGTGTCCTGAAAAACGTTTGTCTAGCTCTTGGAAATAAAGTACGTTTTCATAATAAGCAGAAGTGACCTGTCCAGGAGTAATTTGGCGACCAGTGCGTCAGTCTTTAGACCCTGCGTCTGCTTCAGTTGCGCCATCGCTGGAATGAATCTTCAAGAATCACCTTAGTTTGGCTTCGCTGCTTTTCCCCTTGTCTTCTTCTTTCAGCGACCTCAAAAACGGACTTTCTTTTGCGGCTAACTGCTCCTGGATTCTTGTCGCCATTGCAACAAACTTTGTGCGAACTGCGAGGAAGATATAGGTCAAAAAAAGCCGCTAAGAACTGTTGCGTTGGTGGAGTAAACAGCGTCTGTGCGGTCTTGCGTCTGTGGACTGCGTGACAGTCGTACGTAAACCACGTACCGGCGGTGCGCAGGCAAGTCAGTTACACTAGAAACGTAGGGAGTTTGATTGACAGCCTGTCAGCTAACAGATAACGAGGCAGTGTCGTTATCTATTGGCAAATGTTTAGCCCCACCACGTCCAGAGTTGATGAATTTTTATTCTCTTTTTTTTGGTCTACTGCATCTCTATAATCTATCATTGACAATTTGAAACCAAAAAAAATCCTCCATACAACCTTTAAGGGCCCAAATTTGGAACCTCTGCCTATTAATTAATATTTTGGGGGGTCCCGTGTGAGAATTCTTGCCCCAGGCCCCCAGATTTCTGTTGATGGGCCTGACCGTAAATCATTATGTAGATCATCACATTTTAAAATGCAATATTCATCAATCAATCAATCAATTACTGTATTTTCTCCACTATAGGGCGCTCTGGATTATAAGGTGCACTGTCATAAAATGGTCTATTCTCAAACTTTTTTCACAAATAAACCACACCAGACTTTAAATGAAAAACAACAGTTGGATGGGTCAGTGGGACTTTGTTTGGTGCGTTCACGGTGACTCTGGGCTTTGTTCAGTTGTGGCGTGTAGGGAGGGTGCTGTCTGGGTCGCTGGATTGTCGGTGTGTTCGCAGTGACTCAGTTGTTCACTTGTGTCTAGAAGTGGCACATTGCACTCGCTTTTACTGTTTGATCCTCTGAAGTCGTGCTTGGACATCCGAGTGGATTCATGTATAGGGCGCTCTGGATTGTGGGGCGCGCAGTCATTTTTTGATGGGGTTGGAGGCTTAAGAGCGCGCCCTATGAAAATACAGTAAACTTTATTTGTAAAGCACTTTTCATACATTTGAAATGTAGCCCAAAGTGCTTCACATGCAGCAGAAAAAAAACACCTCATTGTTTCATTCATACATACAGCCCTTTAGACATAAACATGAGACATAAAACTCCTAAAGTTTATAGTAAAAAAAATGGAGAGCTAAAATAGGATGGAGACTAAGTAAAATAATAATAATAACAATAATAATTTCATTTAAAACAAGTATAGTTTCAATTAAAAGCTAAATTAAAAAGAGACGCAGCGGACCTCAGCTCCTTCAGTTGACTGAATGTCGCCTCACCATGAGTTTTAATTTAGACTCTTGGGACAGTTAAAAAATGAGACCTGAGGACCTGAGAGTCCGAGAGGGCTCATATGATCATAGCTGATCAGATAAATAAATATGACTAAGACCGTTAAGAGTTTTATAAATCAATCAAAGGACTTTAAACTCTATCCTGAAGCTCTAAAACAACTTAATGAAAGGAACAAGTCTGCTGACTGTGAGTATAAAGAAAGAGTCATACGGCTGTTGGATCCTTCGATGGATAGCTGCAGATCACTCTAAGGAGCCATGGATTTTTTTACATTTTTATTTATACCAATTTTTATTTATTTTATTTAACCTATGACATACATAAAATCGGAGAATGAAGTGCGCACAGAGCAGTGGGTGTGTTCTGCTGGAGGTGAAAACAGGAGATGAACATTAGCATCGACACACACAGTTGCACCTTTGTAAACACGATGAGGAGTCGTCCAGTGAACACAGCTCCCTGTCCACTGATCTGCCACCAGTCAGGGATTTTAGAGAAACTCTGTAAAAAAAACAACAAACAAACTCATAGGCATTTTATTGATAGTAGAAATGTCTACACTGACTGTCCCAGAACTAGTTATTATTACAACAACTCCCCCTTATGTAACAGATAATACTCCCTACAACTGTACAACAACTCCCCCTTATGGAACAGATAATACTCCCTACAACTGTACAACAACTCCCCCTTATGTAACAGATAATACTCCCTACAACTGTACAACAACTCACCCTGATGGAACAGATAATACTCCCTACAACTGTACAACAACTCACCGTAATGAATAGATAATACTCCCTACAACTGTACAACAACTCACCCTTATGAACAGATAATACTCCCTACAACTGTACAACAACTCACCCTTATGTAACAGATAATACTCCCTACAACTGTACAACAACTCACCCTTATGGAACAGATAATACTCCCTACAACTGTACAACAACTCATCCTCATGTAACAGATAATACTCCCTACAACTGTACAACAACTCACCCTTATGTAACAGATAATACTCCCTACAACTGTACAACAACTCACCCTTATGTAACAGATAATACTCCCTACAACTGTACAACAACTCACCCTTATGTAACAGATAATACTCCCTACAACTGTACAACAACTCCCCCTTATGTAACAGATAATACTCCCTACAACTGTACAACAACTCACCCTTATGTAACAGATAATACTCCCTACAACTGTACAACAACTCACCCTTATGTAACAGATAATACTCCCTACAACTGTACAACAACTCACCCTTATGTAACAGATAATACTCCCTACAACTGTACAACAACTCACCCTTTATGTAACAGATAATACTCCCTACAACTGTACAACAACTCACCCTTATGTAACAGATAATACTCCCTACAAACTGTACAACAACTCACCCCTTATGTAACAGATAATACTCCCTACAACTGTACAACAACTCACCCTTATGTAACAGATAATACTCCCTACAACTGTACAACAACTCCTCCTTATGTAACAGATAATACTCCCTACAACTGTACAACAACTCACCCTTATGTAACAGATAATACTCCCTACAACTGTACAACAACTCACCCTTATGGAACAGATAATACTCCCTACAACTGTACAACAACTCACCTTATGTAACAGATAATACTCCCTACAACTGTACAACAACTCACCCTTATGTAACAGATAATACTCCCTACAACTGTACAACAACTCCACCCTTATGTAACAGATAATACTCCCTACAACTGTACAACAACTCCCTTATGTAACGGATAATACTCCCTACAACTGTACAACTCACACTTTTATGTAACAGATAATACTCCCTACAACTGTACAACAACTCACCCTTATGTAACAGATAATACTCCCTACAACTGTACAACAACTCACCCTTATGTAACAGATAATACTCCCTACAACTGTACAACAACTCTCCCTTATGTAACAGATAATACTCCCTACAACTGTACAACAACTCACCCTTATGTAACAGATAATACTCCCTACAACTGTACAACAACTCACCCTTATGTAACAGATAATACTCCCTACAACTGTACAACAACTCACCTTATGTAACAGATAATACTCCCTACAACTGTACAACAACTCACCCTTATGTAACAGATAATACTCCCTACAACTGTACAACAACTCACCCTTATGTAACAGATAATACTCCCTACAACTGTACAACAACTCACCTTATGTAACAGATAATACTCCCTACAACTGTACAACAACTCCCCTTATGTAACAGATAATACTCCCTACAACTGTACAACAACTCACCCTTTATGTAACAGATAATACTCCCTACAACTGTACAACAACTCTCCCTTAGGGAACAGGTAATACTCCCTACAACTCCCGAGAAATTACTATACTTTTATGTTTTATTTTGACTTGTACATTTACATTTATATAATTACTCCTTATTTGACACCAGTTTCTTGCTCTTTTTTGCTACTTATTCAAAATTTCTTATGACCATTTACACTTTTTCCTCATTGTTATTGTAATATATTATAATGTGTGAGCGACTGTGTCCATATCATTTCCCTTGTGGATCTATAATGTTTGTCCAAGTCTAAGTCTAAGCTAAGAAAAATATGTGACTGAATTGTCTCTGGATTTTGGTGTTTTCTGTGTTGATGACTTAGATAAAGTTAGTGCCTTTTAGATTCAGACAACTGCAGACTTATTTTGATCTCAAGAACTGCTTATCCAATATATCTGATCAAATGCATGGAAAAAAAACAAAAAAAAACAGCTACAGCTTCATTAATTGCCAGTTTCATGTCTTTCTCTCATCTCTCTTTGTCTGTGTGTTGTGTCAGATCTGAGGCCTTTGCCCCAGAGTCGGCGTAATACCCTGGGCTGCCTGCGGGGGGCGGATGGGGGCAGTATCCTGAGGAGCATCTCGGTGGCAGACAGCATCAGCGTCCTCCCGTCCTCAGAGGGGGCGTCCCAGCTCTCCTCGCCCGCCACGGGGCACCCGCGGGGCAGCAGCAGCGAGGGGGGCAGCGGCCGCAAGGGCATGATGCAGGCCATCAAGAACGAGAAGAGGGCGTCCAAGGTGAGAGGGGGGAGGGCGGGGGGGGGGGGGGGGGTCAGAGGGGTAAGAGGGCATTTAAGGAGAGAGGGGGAGCGAGGGAGAAGAAAGGCAAGAGTGCGTGATGCAGGCAATCAAGGCGACCGAGCGGGAGCCAGTAGTGTTGGGGGAAAGACGCTTATGATCCGGCCCACTTCCCAGTTGCTGCCACACCCTTGCTCATGGGCACAAAGGCGAGGGTGGAACATAATAGTAACGGTTGGCGTTGAATCCCAAGGACACCACGTATGACGGGACTAAGTTCGGGGGCGTCAGCGTTTCGGAATGTCAAAAGACCAGCATTGTCTCCGAAACTGAACCTGAGACGGGACTGGAGGTGATCTGGGAACTGGGAACTGACCAGCTCTAGCTCCGCCTCCAGAGAGCTCACCAGCTCATGTGATTGGATGAATTTTGGATTTTCTTTTTTGGATTTTGAATATTTTTGGGTAAATCACAACTGCAGATAACTTTAAATGTTTTTAAATGAATTAAACATTTTGAGAATAGATTTGAATATAGAGTTAGAAGTGTGAGGGATAGACGGGGAGAGAGAGGTAGGGAGGAAAGAGATAGAGGGAGAGAGAAGAGAGATTGAGAAAAGAACAAGAGGAAGAGAGGGCAAGAGGGCATCCATGAGGAAAGAGATGGAGGAGAGAGGGCATAATGCAGGCAATCAAGAATGAGAAGAACGTGTCCAAGGTGAGAGGGAGAGAGAGAGAGAGGAAGAGGAAGAGCAAGAGGAGGAAGGGAAAGAGAGTGTTTAGGGCGAGAGGGGAGAGGGAGGGAGGAAGAGCAGCAGTGGACGCAAGGGCTCGATGCCAACGAGACAACGAGAAGAGGACATCCAAGGTAAGCGAGAAAGAGAGAGAGACAAGGAAAAACAAAGAGGTGAGAGGAAGGAGGGAGAGACGGAGGGTTAAAGGTTCAAATCCAAATCCACTATATCAAGTATACTATACTATCCACTAATATATATATATATATATATATATATATATATATATACATATACATATACATATATACATATACACACACATATATATATATATATATATATATATATATATATATATATATATATATATATATATATATATATATATATATATATATATATATATATATGCTTTTATATAACTGCTTTGTTTGAAAAATGGGATATATATATCCCATTTTTCAAACAAAAAGTTTCCAAAGTGCTGCACAGAGATCATGAAATGAAAACAACAAAAAGGTAAACTGCTAAAATTTGGTCATAGCAGTCCTAAAACAATAAAACCAGTCAAATCAAATAAAAGAAAAACCATCCTTCCATTTTCTTCCACTTATCTAGGGCCAGGTCATGGGGGCAGCAGTCTAAACCGAAACTCACAGACTTCTTTCACCACACACACCCCACACATTTTCTCCAGCTCCCCCAGGGGGACTCCAAGGTGTTCCCAGGCCAGCCCAGAGACATAGTCCCTCCAGCATGTCCTGGGTCTTCCCCGGGGTCTCCTCCCGGTGAGGTATGCCCGGAACACCTCTCCAGGGCATCCAGGAGGCTTCCGGAACAGATGCCCGAGCCACCTCAGCTGGCTCCTCTCAACAGGGAGGAGCAGCGGCTCTACTACGAGCTCCTCCCCTGTGACTGAGCTCCTCACCCTATGTCTAAGGGAGCACCCATACACCCTGCGGAGGCATATCATTCGGCCGCTTGTATCTGCGATCTTGTCCTTTCGGTCATTACCTAGAGCTCATGACCATAGGTGAGGGGAGGAGAGTAGACTGAGCGGTAAATCTAGAACTGGTTCTCAACCAGAAAAAAGGTGTCTTGCCCTCTTCGGGTGGTTGGAAAGTCCCACAGGGGTGTAAATCTGGATGAGGTCTGAGATGTACTGTGGGGACAGCCCATTCAAAGCTTTAAAAACAATAAAACAAACAATAAAAAGGTTGAGTAGTTGCCAGAGTTTTTGATCTGGCAGCATATTTCATTTTTGATCTGGCAGCGTGTTCTGTTTTTGTGCCTCTGGCCGACTGAAGCGTTTGGTTACATTCACTCCTGGTACATTTGAACACTGCAGCCTCCTTTTGTTTCTGCGCTCTGCTTATTCCAATGATCCAAAGGATTTTACATATAAAATCCATTAAACGTGGAGAATCAAGAACCATTTCGAACTTTAAAAATGAGACGAGCACCAGACACATTTGGTGTTTGTTGTGAATACTGATACTTTGCAACTGATGTCATTGTCAACATTCCCTGGGGGTGTGATGCTAACTGAAAGCACTGCTCTATCTGAGGCCTGCTAGACTTGAATCTGAGCTCCAGTTGAGTTTTTCAGTTAGTCACTCTCACCTTTCTGCTGAAAATCAAACTCTTAAACAGGACAATGAACACTGGGACTGATCACAGGCTCTTAAATCAATGTTGTATTTTTCAGACTTTCAGGATTCATTCAGGATCTCAGAGCTGCAGTATGTAACTTCTAAGATGTTTGTCTCCATGGAGATGTTACTTCTTGCAGGATTCCCACAGTCATGGAAAGTCATGGAATTTTGTAAACTCAATGAAAGTTTTGGAAAAGTCATGGAATCTCTCTCATATCTCTCTCATGTGTTCTGTTAAGTTATCATTTGGCTATTATGATTATTTCCAAATGTCTGCACCTTTTGTTTAAAAGAGACGACAATAAATGCACAGACAGTATTTTGAATATTAAAAAAAATACAAAACCATAAGATGAGTGGAAAGAATCTGTGTATCATTCGTTCATAAATTTTTCAATATAAAACCAAAAATATGAAAATGAAAAAAAACAACAGTTTTATTCATTATAATGGAAAAATGGATAACGGCTGTTTCCCGTTCCCTTTTGTGCCGCTTACGGACTGAACCAGGACTAAACCAGGACTTAACCAGGACTAAACCAGGACTAAACCAGGACTGAACCAGGACTAAACCAGGACTTAACCAGGACTAAACCAGGACTAAAGCAGGACTGAACCAGGACTAAACCAGGACTTAACCAGGACTGACCAGGACTAAACCAGGACTTAACCAGGATTAAACCAGGACTAAACCAGGACTAAACCAGGACTTAACCAGGACTGAACCAGGACTAAACCAGGACTGAACCAGGACTAAACCAGGACTTAACCAGGACTGAACCAGGACTAAACTAGGACTGAACCAGGACTAAACCAGGACTTAACCAGGACTGAACCAGGACTAAACCAGGACTGAACCAGGACTAAACCAGGACTAAACCAGGACTAAACCGTTTTCAGTCCTGGTCTCAGTCCTGGTCTTGGTCTCGTTCTCAGTCCTGGTCTAGTCCCTATCTAAGTCCTGGTCTCAGTCCCGGTCTGGATCCGGTCTGGTCCCTGGACCTGGTTCAGTCCTGGTTCAGTCCATGTGCGACGCAAAAGTCCAGCATTGCAGTTTAAGTCACGTAAACGGGTTGTTATCCCTTTTTTTCCATTATTCATTTAAACACAAAATCAAAAACTGAAAAAAACAAATCATTATCCGTTTTTTCATTTTGGTTTTGGAAGCAAATAATGAAGAAAACAGTTGTTGTTTTTCATTTTCTTATTTTTGGTTTTATATTGGAAAAAAAAAATGAACGAATGATAAAGAGATTGGAAAGGGTTAACATTTCATATTTAACCCTAAAAGTATGTCCAATTCTACACATGTAGGTGCTGTAAAGTCATGCAAAATTCACTTTAGGTCACGAAAAAGTCAAATTTTGTCAGTGAAAAAGAGTGGGAACCCTTTTGTTTTCTTGGAATGTTCCACAGTAGCGCATTATACATATCTCTCTTGCATTCACTCAATTTCAGATATTTTATAGCTCAAAATACATTAAAAAAAATTGAACTGTTACGATGTGCAGACTCGCTTCTCCATAGATCTGACCATTAACCTGTCTGTTGTATTTGCCAAGTTTATTTCCATACTGTGGAATAAACAAAACAAAACAGTAATATCTCCATGGAGACAAGGATGGAGCCACTTTTCCATCAGAAAAATTACACATTACACCTTTAAAACTCACCATGGTAACTAAACACCACCATAGAGATTCATGCAGAGCACCCCCAGTATGATGTCACAGCAAAGTATCAGTTCCTTTCATGACTCTGCTCCTCCATGTTTTTATGTGTGTTCTTTTGTTGTTTGTTCCAGGTGCTGGGGATAGTCTTCTTCCTCTTCCTCATCATGTGGTGTCCGTTCTTCATCACAAACGTCACTTCAGTTTTGTGTCGGGATTCGTGCGACGAGTCTCTCCTCCACGACCTCCTCAACGTCTTCGTGTGGGTGGGCTACATCTCCTCCGGGGTCAACCCTCTGGTCTACACCCTCTTCAACAAGACCTACCGAAGAGCTTTCTCCAACTACATCCGCTGCCGGTACCGAGCGGGAGCCAACAGCGCGGGGGGAAAGACGCTCCTGGTCCCGCCCCCTTGCCCGTCGCACTCCGTCACGCCCTTGCTCATGGGCACGAAGGCGGGGTGGACCGTAATAGTAACTGCAGGAACGGGCGGAATAACGGGCGGCTGGCGTTGGATCCCGAGGACACCACGGATGACGGGACCCAGTTCGGGGGCGTCAGCGTTTCGGAATGTCAAAACATCGGCGTTCTCTCGGAAACCGAACCCGAGACGGAACTGGAGCCGGAGCTGTCAATCATCAGCTACGGCCCCGCCCACAGGGAACTGACCAGCACTAGCTCCGCCTCCAGAGAGCTCACCAGCGCCGTGTGATTGGACGAATTTTGGATTTTTTTTTTGTTTTTGGATTTTGAATATTTCTGGAAAAATCACAACTTCAGATGGCTTTAAATGTTTTTAAATGAATTAAACATTTTGAGAATGGATTTTCGACAAAAGTTTGAATATAGAGTTAGAAATGTCAGTGCAACATGCTTAGGTGTAGTGCATGTCAAAGCGCTTGCCGTCATTCAGTGGTGGATTACAATGATTTTAAATGGAGGAGCACTACTACCAAAAGGTCACCGGTTCAAGTCTCCAAGTTGCATGTGGATTTTCTCCCAGCAAACCAAACCAAAATCATTTTCAGACTTAAAAATGAGCACGGAAATTGGAAAGTCCAGGTGGAAAAATGTAAAACGGATATTTACAGAGGAGGAGGAGAGAAAAAGAAAGAGAGAAAAGGGGGTTGTGAAGGAATGTATCAGACCTGTGCTGAGTGGTGGAGCAGCACTGCCCCCTGGTGGTCACACACAGAACAGAAGTGTCATTTCAAAGAGCTAAAGGTGCGACTGAGGCCTGGGGTCCAAAACATGTCAGGTGGGAAAGAAAACTGTGTTTAACTAAGAAAGAAATCAGTCTTCTGTTTAAAGTGCATATGACAGGTTAGAAGTGACATGACAGGTTTGTTACTCATTTCATTAAAACATTCAGCGGTGGAAGAAGTACTCAATTACTTTTAGTACTTAAGTGAAAGTACAGGTATTGGAGCAAAAAAATAACTAAAAATACTTAAGTAAAAGTATTAAAGTACCTGTTTAATAATGTACTTAAAGAGTAAAAGTATTTTGAGGTCTTACAAAGCTTCAAATGTAGAGATTTTGATAATGATTTCTGTTTTTTTTTTTTTTTCATCTGAAACAATTGAATCTATATATTTTTAGCTGTTTTTATTTGTATATTTTTGTTTGGTCAAACTATGGACATGTTTAAAACCCTCAGCCTTTTCAAACAAGAGTAAAAAAATACTTTCACTTTTCAGTCCTGTTCAAAAATGTAGTGTAGTAGAAAGTACAGATACCTGCACTCAAATGTAATGAAGTAAAAGTAAAAAGTACCCACATTACTACTACTTAAGTACAGTACTTAACTTTTATTTTGTTATGTTTCACCACTGAAGATAGTTAACGTCAGTGTACTCAAGGTTTTACAAAAAAAATCTCACATAATTCTTTTAGTTTTTAAAATTTTTGAGAAGTATCATTTTACTTTCTGGTTGGACACAGGCAAATGTGCCATACATAGAGGTAATTCCATCACTGTTACCTAGCAGCACAATATTTATGATAACACTAATAAAAATAAATGACATCACCTTTGTTTAGTTAAAGCTACCATCTGTAATAACATGTACAGGATTCACATCTGCCATCTACTGGTGAAAAAACGTGCATATGGTAGCTTTAAATGTATTTTTAAATGGACAGAAAGATATTTTTTTACCTACCAACCATAATTTAACAAGGGCCAAAACTTGTCTAAATTACACAATAGTTATGATTAGACTAATAAAAATAAATGACAATGCCTTTATTTTTTTTAAATTAAGGTTTAAACTGTCAGAAAAAACGCCTTCCTCTGCGTAAATAATCTCTGTGTTTTGGATGGAGTTTTCTATGTTGATGACATACCGTATTTTCTGCACTATATGTCATTAAATGATCTATTTTCAAACTTTTTTCACAAATAAACAGCACCGGACTATAAGGCGCATTAAACGAAACACAACAGCTAGATAAGTGAGTCAAACTTTATTTAACGCGTTCACAATAACTCTCAACTTTGTTCAATTGTAATGCGTAAAAAAAATACTGTCTGAGAGCAATAAATTGTTAGTGTTTTCACAATAACTCATAATTGTTCAAACAGTTGGGTGATTACAGCGTCCAGCACGTCCACATCCCTCTCGTCATTATCAGAGTCAGTGTTGGTTACTGTTACCTGCAGTTCAGTGATGATTCTGGTCTTGGTGAAAGCTCAGACCACAGTTGATACTGATCCTTAGCCCAGGCGTCCACGATCCATTGGCAGATCGCTTGGCGCTGTCTCCCTGTCTTGGTGTCTTCTTCCCACGCAGCTCACAGTTTCACTTTATAACAGCTTTGAGTTTAAAGTGGGCGTTGTAAGCTTGTCTCTTGACAGGTGCATTTTGATATTAAAAGGAATCACAGTATGTATTACTCCTCGATGCTCCTGACTACAGTAGCCGTAATGCTACAAGTGGTGCGGCTTTGTAGTTTACTAAAGTCGTACTAAGACACCCGTACAAATTCATATAAAAGGTTCTCTGGATTATAAAGCCCGCAGTCGTTTTCTGATGATATTAAAGGCTTTTAAGTGCGTCCTATAGTGTGGAAAATACGGTAGGTAAAAGGATTCTGTTTTAGATCTCAGCCCTACTTCCTGTGTAGTTATACTTTCTTCTCAACTTCCTTTCACAAACGGACACTTAACTGAAGTAAAAATATGATAAATATTGACCACAGGTACAATCCCACTAAACCAGGTCAGAATTTTTAAAAACGTGAAAACCTGTCATATACACTTTTATCAAGAGAGACCTAGAACTGAGACTCATGTCCTTCTGCATTTTGAGAAACATATTTTACAATTTTAATGCAATAAAACAAAGTGAAATGTGGCAGGTTTATTCATACCAGTGGCAAATTTAAACATGAAAACCAAATATATTCATAATTTCATTTTTTGGTGTATTTTAATTTCAAATTCAGATTGTACTTTACACTTTTAAACCTGTTTTATATATAAAAATACCACTATCAGATTCTAGGATGTGATGGTGTCATTCTCTCAGATGGGGGCAAGAGATTTCATTATTGGTTACATTGTGATTTACCATGAAATCTCCAAAAGCTAAATTCAAAAATGTTGAACCTGATCATTTCTATCAGTGACTAGACCCAAGAACTCAGTGTATTGATACTTTGCAGTGACATCTTCAAAAGTTTAGATTGTCTGAAAACTGGAGAGTAAATACAAAAAAGAACAACACATTTTCAGGAGCGTGTGATCAGTATGAGCGTTCATGGTGCGGTTTAAGAGTTTGATTTTCAACTAAAAGATGAGAGTGACTAACTAAGTGACTATAATTTTATGCATGAGAGACTTGTTTAACAGCACAAATCAGCTCACCTGCTGTAGTCCCAACCACATCAGCTCTTTCTGGTCAATTTGTACCAAAATACATTGTGTTAGACAGAGCAGAGCCTCCAGTTAACATCACACCTCCAGGGAATATGGATGATGTCAGCTGCAAAGTATCAATGACAACAGAAATCAGCATAATATTCATTTAACTGCCCCCATCTGTGTTAAATATTACTGGTCTATAGATACATCACGAATTTCGGAATTCCGGTCACTGTGCAATTCATACTGGGAAGGATTTTCTGAAAAAGTGAGCATCAAACCTCCATGTTTGTTTTCCCAGTGGGATGCGTCTATTGACAAAGTCAGTCTTTTCTAGTCTTTTGAAACATTTCGCTTGTGTTTCTATTTCTGATATTGTCATATTTTAGTTTTGGGATTCGGGCATCATAATTGTGTGGTTGTTGGATCCTAACAGCGGAAAACGGCTCAAGAAATTTGTTTGTGAACTCCATAACTGCAAAAGGGAATCAGATGTGTGTGACTTCAAACCTCCGTTCAGTTTCCCTTCTCAGTGGAATTGAAAAATAGTGAAAGGTGAAGGTGATGGGCAGTATTGATCCACAGGAAGGATGAAAAAGGAAACCTTTAACTGCCTTAAAACATCCCGAGTTTGCAGCGAACATTTTGTATGTGGAGCAACAACAAAGCAAAACCCCGACTCCTCGCTCCACCTTGGTTATGAATTTAAAAAGTCAACGTCAAAGCGAAAGGCACCAACTGTTCACCAAGAAACACCTTCCACTGCAAAGTGACCAAGACGTGATGTTGCTGTAAAACCACAAGAACAAGAAAGTGCAGCTCAGTCTGTTTGTCTTCTGCACCTCTCACTTAACAAATGGGATCCTGCTTTAATGACGCTCCACATACAAAATGTTGGCTGCAAACTCGGGATGATTTAGACAGTCAAAGGTTTCCTTTTTCATCTTCCCTGTGGATCAATACTGCCCATCACCTTCACCTTTCACTATTTTTCAATTCCGTTGGGAGGGGAAACATTTTGAACAGAGGTTTGCAGTCACACACATCTGATTCCCTTTTGCATTTATGAAGTTCGCAAACTTCCAAAGCCCATTTCTCAAGCCATTTTCCGCTGTTAGAACATCCAACAACCACACAATTACGATGTCCGAATCCCAAAACTAAAATATGACAATATCAGAACCAGAAACAAAAGTGATATGGTTCAAAAGACTAGAAAAGACTGACTTTGTCAATAGACGCATCCCACTGGGAAAACAAACATGGCAGTTTGATGCTCACTTTATTGTGCAATGACCGAAAGTCCGAAATTCGTGATGCATCTATAGAATGTTGTGACATCATCTGAAACCCAGGATGAAAACAAAAGATTTAAACTTTAGGTGGAACAAAAACACTGTGAAAAACATTTGTACAACTCCATTTTGTAAGAAGAAATCTGCCATTTTAAAAACAAGAGATTACACTGTTTCCATCTTTGCATTAAGGCTGAATGATTTGGGGAAAAAATATCTTATCTTATATATTTTTCTGACATAATGATTGTGATTTATGTTTTAATAAGAGGATTCTGTTCAATGTTCACATTCGTGGCAGTACTTTATGGTACTTAAAGATTTATTGTGTAACTTTTCTGGTAGCCTGGGTCTGTAAAACTGCTTTTTTTTTTTTTTTGCTTTTTTTTTTCTGTGGAAGTGTTATTGCTTTATCTGGAATGTTTCACAGTATGGCATTAAACCTTTCTCTCTTCATGAAGAAAAACCAGACCAAGTTACAGATCAGATCTGTGGAGAGGCGACCCCGCTCACGTCAGAATGTCTGTTTTTCAAAGTATTTTTGAGCTA